AAAAAAAAAAAATAAGCAAACATTCATAACCTTACCGCCCGGAGGGCACCTGTTCTGTTTATGGCACACTTCACTCACTCCTCACGGTTTTCAGTGGATTTTTATCCCTCTGTCTGTGCAATTGTTTATTCTGCTGCGTTCAGGAAACATTAAACCCACAAATCTATATTTCAGAACTAGATTTTAATGGCAGTGAAATATGCCACTTTTCAATGACTCAATTTATTGGCCCAATTTCCTCCCGCTGAACACTTACATTAATTCTCAACGGATGCCATTAAAAGTCCTGCTGCATTAAATCTATTTGCATATAAAATCTGACTGCCTCCTGACAACTTACTGAGGGTGGATTCCCAGAAGCGGGATTTTTCTAGAGCCCTGGTTTGGCCAAGCCAGAGCGGTTTCCATCAGAGCTGGCAATGGCCACTCTGGAAGGGGTGGGGGGGGAGGCGAGCCCTGCTCAGAACCCTCTGGTGCCAGGAGCTGATGGGTGGCTTGCTGCCCAGTGCTTACACGGGACACCACCTCCAGTCCCCTGCCCGCCCCCGGAGGAGGGTGATTTCCTCCTCTTAAGCCACAGGGAAATCAATCCCTTTTCGGCTTTTCTCCCGGGGCTGCGGTAAAAAGCCCAAGCGAGATAAGGAGTCTCCAAGTGCTTTGGAAACGGAAACTCCCTAATCAACAGAAACTACCCCTTGTAAAGGTGGTATTTTTCTGATTATAATAGTCATCCTGGCTCACTGTGGAAGGTTTCAGAGAATGCACAAAGTAGAAAGAACGGACACGTTCACTTGTTTTGGGAGAATGTTTAAAGGCGGGGGAACACGACCACATTCTGAATCGGACGCTTTTCTGCGTATGTGTGTGATATGAGTGAAAGATATTTTAAAAGAAAGAAAGAAGGAAGGTAAGGGGGGCGGGGAGGAAGGAAGGAAGGGAGGGAGGAAAGAAGGAAAGAAAGAAAAGAAACAAAAAATCAAAATCACCCACATTTGTATCTCCAGCCCGGTTCTCTTAAAAACGCTTACCTTCCTGGGGCGCCTGGGTAACTCAGTCAGTTAAGCAACTGACTTTGGCTCAAGTTATGATCTCGCAGTTCGTGGGTTCGAGCCCCGCGTTGGTCTCTGTGCTGACAGCTC